ACCAATGAACCAGAGAGGTTAAACTTCCCAGTCCATACCTGTACCAACATTCAAAGAAGGTGAGGTCTAGTTTGCTGCTAATGCAATGACAAAATTCTTCCTAGAATTTATGACTGACACAGAATTCTCTTCTATACTAAATAATATAACCACTCTATTCAGATGGAAGAGTACATGATTTGACTTGGCTACTGGCGTGTACTTTATCTGTGGGCCCTTGAACAGTGTTTGGAAACTGAAGGTGATACAGAATGTGGCAGAAGGTTGTTCTCTAATTTTTGCTTTTAAGACCACATTATACTGATCTTATGTCAGCAGCATGGTTTTCTAGATTTTTTTCTGGGCCTGGTTTAAGGTGATACTGTTTAACTATCTAGGCCTATGTAATGTATAGATAGGAATATCTGAAAAAGCACTTCTTTCCCATCTTATCTTCTAAGTTATGTGCCCCAAAACCCAAAGAGAATGTCAATTTGATTGGTAAGAATGTAAAGGAGGACATTTTTTTGTAATAATTCGGTTTATAGAGTTGCCTCCCCCCTCCAAAAGTGAAATCAGACCATCCCTGGGCTTGTCTACACTGGGGAAAAATGTTGACCTCACCCCAAAATTGATGCTGTCACCCTTCATGATATATGGCTACATCTGGGGACATAGTGTGGTTTTTGGCCCCTAGCCCAACTTTGCTGTCGACTAAGCAAAGTCAGGGAAAAGCCAGGCATTTCCCCACAAACCTAGAGTGGCCTAAGTTTCTTTTGGCTTATGGACAGATTTGGTTTGATTTGGTTTGATTTGCCAGATTTTTTGTGCACATGCCAATAGCCATGCCTTATGGACAGATTTGGTTTGATTTGGTTTGATTTGCCAGATCTTTTGTGCACATGCCAATAGCCATACCAAATCCCTTCCCTGAGCTAAGTGGCAAAGGAAAAAGGGATAGCCTGTTTTCAGTACTGCCACTGCAACATCCTAGGGGGCAGAAGCTCAATGTAAAGCCTGCCCAGTGTACTGGTACATCTACTGAGCTCAGAATGGGGTGCTCCTGCAATCAATGAAGAGGGAGTAGAGCAGTAGGGTCCCTGGGGTGTGTGGGGGGGTGGGCCACACTGGGTGACATCACAGAAGGAGGCGTGACACCCAGTTATCCCCCCCACCCTCCATGGGCACTACTTTAGCCCATGCAAGCACTACTTGGGCTCACATGGGTGCTTTAGGGGCTGCACAGGCACGCGTTGGGGCTGTGCAAGTGCCGTTTTGGCCCATGTGGGTGCTCTTCCAACCCACACTGGTGCTGTAGAGGCTCCATGGGCACTCCTCGGGCCCAAGCGGGCACTGCTTGGGCTCATGCAGGTGCTCCTCCAGTCCTGGAACCAAGAAGTCCCGGTGCCAGAAGTTCCACTTCCTGGAAGTCCCCCCCCCCCACACGCACCAGGTGTCACCCAGTGTGAGGCCACCACTGAAGTAAAGCATCCCATCCTTGTTGATCACATTCTGACTTCAGTAGAAGCACCAGCATGCTGGGTAGACTCTTACAGGGAGCTGCTTCCCAGCAAGGTGATGGTGCAGCACCGAGGAGGAAAGGCCAACAGGGCTGAAGTGGTCTCTGCCCTTCTGGCCCATCTGTACAACAACATGGCATCACACTGATCTCTCTTGGTGCATGTGGTTGCCATTGTAATCAGTCTGGAGCCAGTCCAGAGCATAACACTCCAGACACCCCAGATTAAGTGGCCAGTGTAGTCATGCCTTTTGGTTGGATTTAGGTAGAAAGGATAAATCTGGCTTTTAATGATAGGCTTTTAATTATATATATATATATATTCCTCAATGTTTTTAAATTCCCTTTACTTATATTTTATATATTTTTAAATTTGCAATGTAATATTGCTTTGTCTTTGTAAGCCATTTAGGGTTTCCTTATAGTTGGAAGTGGTATGAAAATAGGACAGAGGGGCTTGTTTGTTGGTGGTGATATAACATCTGAAAATTCTAGAAACAGTATTTGGCAATATTGAATCTGCTACCCCCTGGTGACATCAGAGGACTACCCTCCCCACACATGCTTATTTCTGTGCATTCAAAAAAGTCATAGACCGATGCAGAAGCTGGAACAATCTTAGGACTGAAAACATGCAAAACTGACACTGATCAAAAATAAATGTGCTTGTAAGGAGCCGTGGTGGTGCAGTGCTTAAATGCTGGTACTGCAGCCACAATGTTGTGAGTTCTTTTCCAGGACTCTAAGGTTGACTCAGCCTTCCATCCTTTCATAGGTCGGTAAAAGGAGCCCTGGTGGTGCAGTAGTTAAATGGCAGTACTGCAGCCATTCACAGCCACAAGGTTGTGAGTTCAATCCCAGGGAGGGCTCCAGGGTCCACTCAGCCTTGCATCCTTCTGTACGTCACTAAAATGAGTACCCAACTTGGCAATTAACTTACACATTGTAAACTGCTTAGGGAGTACTTAAGTGCACTGATAAGTGGTACAGAAATATTCTTGCTCTTACTCTTGCTCTTGCTCTTGCTCTTGCTATAAAATGAGTACCCAGCTTGTTGGAGACAATCGATTTACAGATTGTAAACTGCTCAGAGAGTGCTGAGTTCCCTATTAAGTGGTATAGAAATGTAAATTCTAAATGCTATTGCTATTTGTCCATTTCTAGTATGAGCCTAACTATTTCTCTTGGCTCCCATCATGATTGCATTGAGTGCAAAACTCAGCACCCTGACCTAAAATTTCACAGCTCTACAATTTCTTTCCTGCATGTGTTAAGACAAAACATTTGATCTCTTAAAGATTTATTAGTTTTGGGTTTGTTTACCTGTTCCTGTCTTCCTGAAACCTTTCAAAAGTTGCTTGCTACTAGTAATTTTCCATTTCTGTTTATTATTTCTTCTTTCCTGTCCATATTGTACTATGTTTGATGTCATCAGCAGTTGCTAAGGCAACACAGGATCTTGAACTCAGGCAAGTCAGTGAAAGTGATGCAGGAATATATTTATGATATATTTAATGTGTATCTTCACTGATGATGATATAGTTCATGATACACACTAAAATGAAGGGGCCAGAAATACTGAAAGTTGTTAAAAGAGGCAAAATAAATGATTTTTTGTGGATTTCCATGGATTTCTTCAATGGAGTTATGTAATGATTTTCAGGAATATCAGAACAAAATTAGACACTCAAAAGATGAGAACCAGGCTGGCATTGGCCTACGACTACATCTACACTGCAAAGTTAATGCAGTATGACACTGCTTTAACTGCCATGGCTCAATATTATGGGATTTTGGGATCTGTAGTTTTGGGAGCTATTTAGTTTTCTATGTCAGAGTGCTCCAGTGCCACAACAAACTACAAATCCCAGGATTCCACAGAGTGGAGCCATGACAGTTAAAGCAGTGTCAAACTGCATTAATTCTGCAGTGTGGTAACAGCATAGCTATCTGGAGATCAGGTTTCAAATCCCCACTTGACCATGGAAACCTACTGGCTAACCTTGGAAAGTCATATACTCTCAGCCTCAGAGGAAAGCAATGGCAAGCTTCATTTGTATAAATCTGTCCATGTAAATACTGTGATAAGGTCAGCTTAAATCAGAGTAGACTTAAAGGTACATAGGAACAATGTAAAGAGGATTGTCTCCCTGCCACCAAGCATTATTTATGTCAGAGGTGGGCAACTGTGATGTCATTATGGGACCAGTATGGTGCCCTGGGACACATACTTATAAAATTGAGTCAAAATGGGGGAAACAAAAGAAAAATGGGAGTGACTGGAAGTTAATTGCTAGGTTTAAAAAACTGTCATTTTAATACATCAATCTGTGTAGGAAAGACAGCCACCATGGTGTAGTGGTTTAAGCTTTCAACTATGACTCTGGAGACCAGGGTTTGAAAGGCCGCTCAGCCAGGGAAACCCACTGGGTAACCTTGGGCAAGTGATAGGACCTTATCACACGGGGCCAAATCCTGACAGAATCCAAAAGGAATCCCCGACTTAATACGTATTATTTTTCCGTGTGTACACACAACGTCACACAGAACCCTGACAGAACCCCGACACAATGCAGCATGATTCGAGTTCTTTTGAATTTCGGTTTCTTCAGGAAGTACAATTGTGCGATGGGATTCATTTCGCTTTTACCGTAGGTATTGTCACCCAATACGTATTGCCAAATACGTATTGGGGAGCATGTCCCATAGTGCCGCCTCTCCAAGGGGACCTCCTTGGAGTGCCGCTCTGACGCAGGGCCGGCGCTCCAAGGAGGACCCCCTTGGAGAGCCAGCCCTGCGTCGGATCGGCGCTCCAAGGAGGACCCCCTTGGAGAGCTGGCCCTGGGTCGGTTCGGCGCTCCGAGGGGGTCCCCCTTGGAGCTCCGACCCTGCGTCGGAGCTGTGACTCGCCGCGGCTGTCACCCTTTCCCAGGTCATCCTCAGTGCAGCCAACCCTCCGCATGGCCGGCGCTCCAAGGAGGACCTCCTCAGTGAATGCTGCGGTGGGAGGTCCTCCTCGGAGCGCCGGCCGTGCGGAGGACCGGCTGCACTGAGGACGACCTGGGAAAGGGTGACAGCCGCGGTGAGTGACAGCCATGGCGAGCATAGTGCGCGTGTGCAAGAACATCATTGCTTGTTCATGTACGGGATTTCATCGCTAGTGTGTGCATGGCAGATACATATTTCCTTAAATGCGTGATGATGCTAATTGCGTGTGATAACCATTTGCATAATGAAGGTTTCTTTGCGGTTTCTTTTCGGGATCTGTCATTTCAGGATTATTATCGATTTGTGGGCCACGTGTGATAAGGTCCATATTCTCTCAGTCTTCAAGGAAGACAAAGGATAACCTGCTTTGAACAGGTTTGCCTTACTGTCTCCAAAGTGAAAGCGACTTGGAGGCATGCAACAACTGTGGAAGGAGATGTGATGGTCTGGAATTATAATGTAAGAGAGGGACTTTTGTGAGACAATTCTCTGGTTATAGAATTGCCTCCCCAAAGCCAGTGTAGTGTAGTGATTTAAGTGTTAGACTGCGACTCAAGAGATGAGGGTTCAAATCCCTGCTCAGCCATGGAAACCCACTAGACTAGATCTTGGGTAAATCACACTCTCTCAGTCTCAGAGGGAGGCAAAGGAAAAATTACCTCTGAACAAATCTTGCCAAGAATACCACAATATAGGTTTGCTTTAAAGTCTGCAAAAAATCAGGAATGACTTGAAGGCACACAACAACAATTGTGCAGGAAAGTGTGATCGTCTGGAATTATATAAAATATTGTTGTGTTTATTTGAGAATCAAGTAAATATGGTTTTGCATGTGATATGTGGGATCTGTAATAAGTAAAGGATCTCTTGCTAGGAAGAGAAAGCATGGAAAGTTGGGGATGACAGTGGTTGGTTCAATGTTTGAGCAGACTTTTAAAATCCTGCTGTGTATAATAGAGAAAGTGATCTGAGCTAGTCAGAGCTAGAAACTAAGATGACTAGAGTCAGTATGCAGAAAGCTCATGCTGCCAACTTCTTTCTTTCAGTTATTCTCAAAGGTGCTACAAGATCTCTCTACATACTAATTCTACAGACGAATACGGCTATATACTTTAATTAGAGATAGTTAGAAACATGACAGTGAAGAGTGTGGAGAAAGGTAGGAGTCAGTTAAGGATAAAAATTAATTATACTTAGTTAAGACAGTTAGTTAGGTTCATCTAGGAGTAAAAGAAGATAGTGAAAGAAATAGCGAGATGTGTTAGAGTCAATTAGGATGTAGATGTGTTATGTTGAACTTTTGTTTAAATACATTATTCTTGTAATATACACACATACCTCTGGGAATACTGCACATAGTGTCTGTAGGGGTAGCTATTAGCCAAGACTTGTGGTTTCTAGTGCTGGGATTATGGGAATAAAGTCTCCTACAAAAACCACAAGGACATTTTGAAGATCCCCACATTTGGGTGAAAAAGAAGTCCTCATAGTTGGTGGCAATGGAGTGTTATCATAACCTATATGACCCCTCTTGCTGAATATGGGGTTTCATATTTTCATCTTTGATAGCTAGTGTCAAGCACATTTTGAGAGGTCATGATGACCTTTGGAACACTAGGAACTTTCATGTGGGAAAGGCATGCTATCCAGAAGACATAGATAGTACCACAATAAAAGGTAAATGGGTTTGCTGATCACTCCAACCACCCACAGGCTGGATAGCAAGAATTATCCTCTAGCGATGAAATCTAAGGAGTCCCATCACAAGCAATTAGATGATATCTTTTCCCCATCCTGAGCTGTTTCCCTATTCACCCCTTCATATCGAGCTATCCAGGGGTTGTCTCAAATCCAGTGAATATTTTGTCACTCTGTGAGAGAATGGCTGAGTATGTGGAAGGTAAAAGAACAACAGAGAACCTTGGTTCATGACAACTCCAGAATTAGACCTACCACATGTTCCAGAATCCTATTGCCAATTCCATGGGAAGACCATCAAGTTTTTGTTACACTGTAGGATAGCACCAAGTACTCCCCGAGGGTACAAAATCAGATATAAATATATGTCCCACACATGGCCAATTTGCTGATACAGACTGAAGCTCTGTACCATAGACCAGAGCACCATTCTGCACTGGTGGCGCAGTGGTTAATGCTTGTACCACAGCCACTCACTCACAAACCATAAGGGGGCTCAGGCTTGACTCAGGCTTGCATCCTTCTGAGGTCACTAAAATGAGTATCCAGCTTGTTGGGGGCAATTAGCTTACACATTGTAAACCGCTTAGAGAGTGCTTAAGTGCACTGATAAGTGGTATAGAAATGTACTTGCTATTGCTATTGCTATTCTCTGTATAGCCATTAGACTCTTTTTGAACCACTCTCCATCTTCTGTGGAACCCCTCTTCAGCACTGGTAATTATCACCCCTTCTAATTCCTGGTTTCTTGCTATCAAACCTTTCACACCTTTCTTTCTGTTAGCCTTGTATGATTGTTGAAGATGCATTGTTTTTTATATTTTTCTAAATAAAACTCTCTTATTCATTGAAACTGGAGTCTCTCTGCAGTTAGTACTGGTATACAGTACTACATAGGTGGAAAAATCCCCTTAAGTTACCCACCTCTCATAGGCCTCCTTTGAGCGAATAATTTCTCCAAGATATCAAGGAGACACTGAAACTGCTGGTGGGGACCCCAATTTTCCACCCTTTGGGAAACAGGGGGACAGGTGGAGGTTCTCTTAGGAGGTGCTGAGACCTTTTTAAGAGGTGGAAAGACAGCTCACTTTATCTTTTCCAGAAAAAGAGCACCCCAGGGAATCTCAAGAGTTGAAAGGCTACAAAAATAGTCTTGGGCCTTACTTTATCCAACCTTGATATGTACCCATTTTGGCTCTAGGCTTCACACTATCAATGGCAAAATGACAAAAGCTTTCTTGTTTTTTTTTTTTTTTTTAAAAAACTCTTCTGATTTTAAAAATAATGTGCATCCCAAAATAACCCCATATAATGTATGTATTGGGGGGCTTACCCCTTGGGATGTGCTTCTTGGTTTCTGGGTGGAGGGAGAAATCTGGCATGGGGTTTTCTGGGTGTAGGGTTGCTGGATGTCCTTTATTTGAGGATCAGAAAACCTGTTCCTAATCAAATTGGCAGGTATTCCTTAATGGAAGGGATGTCCCTTATTTGAAAGGCTATG